AGTCAGGAGGGGCGCCTGGTTGGGGTTTTAATTGAGGATTGGACGTGCTTGGCGTGATAACGGCGTACGCGGCCACTCTAGTTTTGCAGCCGATCGCAGCTGGCTAGAGCCACACGCAGGCGCCGGTCTGACGGTGCAAGTGTTATCAAACAGCTGCCGAGCAAATAGCGAAAGGGGATGCCCGCCAGTTGCCTTCATCAACGCTCGCCTGCGCAAAGCGGGCGTCCGCCGCCGCCCACTCCTTGTAAAGAGCCGCCAAGTCAACCCCCAGGTTGAAGTAATCGGCCAGCGCCGCCTCATCAGCGCCGGCATCGTCAGGCAGGCCCGCGCCGCGCGCGACGACGCGCCATGCCACGTCGTCCGCCTCCTGGCGCAACGAGACCACGCGCCGCCCGATCACGCCGGTGAACTCCCCTGAGGCGGTGCGGCGCCAGCGGAATGACTGACCCGTGGGTAGAGTGAAGTCGAGAGTCAGCTCGCGGCGCGGCGTGCCGAGGCGCCGCCAGGCGACGGCGCCGCAGTGCGCGACGGCGGGGGCGGCGTCCGCTGCTGCAGCGGTCTGCTGGGGGTGCGGCGTCGGGCCGGCTGCTGCGGTGGCGATGCGCATGGCAGAGAATTTACTCGCTCTTGATTTGTAGCGCGGAAAGAGGGCGGGTCGAACGGCGGGCAGCATCAATGGCGGGAGATCATTTGATCAACGCGCAAGCAACCTTGTAGGATATCGCAATGCCAGAAGGAGATGTCTCACGACGGAGTTTTGTCGTGAAATACGCGCCAGAGTACGACACCGTTTGTGTGTCACATTTGTTCAGCTCGGAGGTGCCAGGCAACTGGACTGTTGTCTGCGCACATCTCTGCAGCGTTCGCACTGCTCGTGACCATGGTTGGGAGGGTGTGCATGTTTCACGCGGTCTACAAGGCCTGGCGAGCTGTATCGCATTTTGATTTGTGCTACAAGTCCCGGTACAACAGGTCCGGGCAAGTAGACCGTGCCGGTGTCGCGTTGCACACTCTGCGAGCTTGAGCTGCTTGCAGCGCTGCTGCACGTGCGGCTGCCCGCTCGCCGTTGACAGCTACGAGCAGTGTCGAATTCAAAGAATGTGACGTAAATTTTGAGTTGCGGGTTGCACCCATATGCTTACATGCTCTGCTGCTTGCCGTGTACCGTGTTTGCTCCAGCGGTTGAAAAATTGATTGAGCGTTTGTTAGGCCGCCACTCCTGGATGCCTTCAGTTATGTAGCAACCCGGGTGGTCATGGGAGTGCGGGCAGGCAGGATTTCCTATGGAAAACTCGAAGTTTTTGCCGTCCCCATGGAGCATGGTGCCGCATATGATGAAGTCTGTTGCATAGTTATAGTGAACAAGGGGAATTATGTACATTTTGACTGCGAATACTGCAATCTACACCTACCCCTGCCGTGCGCTTTGTCACCTCACTGCCATGCTCCTGAGGTGTGCCACAACGTTGATGATGCGAGTGTTCTAATGCTGGGTCACTTACCACTTGAAACAGATCAGTGAATGAAATCTGCCCTCGCCACTGCTTTTTCCGCCCTGCACTTGGTCAACTTGACCCTTGAAGGGTGTTCACCTTGGTGAATGCTCATTTCAAGATGTGGAATTTGCGCTATTTGTGATGTTTTTCAATTATCTTGCGTACGTTTCAAGGTGTGGACAAGGATAAGTTCATATACACGATTCATGAGCTGTGTACACACAGTTTGCAGGAGAACTGTTTGACAATTTGCCTGGACAAGACGGTTACAACATAGGCGTGCCAAGTTGGGTTGCACATACCATACTTTTCAAATGCCCAGGAGAAAGGCTGAACAGCGCATGCGAGATTGCAAAGCCGGGGCTTGCTGGCAGGGCAATGCAGCTGGTGATGATCAAACCTGCACAAGTTTTTAAGACATACAACAGTATTATGTGGCCAGTAACCTAGGTAAAATCCAAATCACATGGCCACTGTCACACCATTGACGTGGTAAGCTGCATTTACCAGTTCTTGAGGGTGGCGCAGGGACCGTTCTTCTTGAGGCCCTGGGATGCATAGGTCAAGAGGGTGTAAGCGGGCGCGGGTTAGGTTGGTATTCGCAGGTAAGGCAAGATAAGAAATATTGGGAGAGCCAACTGGACTGGTAGGACGTGGGGAACCATCTTCTCGTGCAAGCTTGGCTCTCCTCAATCAAACCACACAACCCCTGAAATAACCACTCACCTCGGGGGTGGCGGAGACGAGGCCGTTGTCCTTGTAGATCTTGACAAGGGCAGGGTCCTTCTTCTCCATGGACTGTAACAAATCAACAGCGGAAGGTGATAGTGGCAGAGATCAGTACCTCATTCGTGTGTTGATAATGGTACCTCTATCAGAAGCAAGCAGGTCGATTGACAGTACTTCCCGAGCAACACAACCCGCACACCCCTTACCTGGTAAGCGTCGTACTCCTTCTGGGTGGCGAATGAGTAGCGGATGATGGCCTTGCAGCCGGCCTTGTTGCAGGCCTTGGCATCGATCTGGCCGGGCAGAGGGCACAAAAGATGAATTCGGGGTGTGGAGGTTGTTGTGCAAATGGTTCCTGCAGTGGCACAGTGGGGGCGCCATGGCCCGAGGCCATCTAATTACCAGATTGTGTGATTGACAAAACCTGCTCACCATGTACTTGACCTTGGACAGGTCCAGGAGCTGCTTCTTAACGGCCAGGGCCTTGGCGCAGTCGATCGCTGGAAAGACAGGCATGCGAATGAAGTTGAGGTCAGTCACATGCGTGTGCCTGGTTGAGCGGCAGGCAGGTTGGCCTGCGTATACTCGAGTCCAGCCAAGCGGCAGCAAGGCAGATCAACTGCTCGACATCTGCACTCCATTTTCATCCCCCAAATTGACTCACAGTAGCACGAGATGTGGCAGATGCGGCCCTCCGCGGCGGGGGCAGGGGACTGGGCTGTGAGGGTCACAGGGAGTAAGAGGGGGGGACGGGAGCGTCCTCAGTCAACCAGCAGCACGCATGTCGGCAATTGGGGGCCGGGTTGATCATGGTTGCAGGAAGAAACACGGTGTCACCCAGGCAAAGATGCTCTGCCACCCCAAGGTGCCAGCGGTGTTGCTGACGGCTGGCCCCTGAACAGTAGGGTCCACGGCTCATATGGTCTCAGGCTCGACCAAGGCACTAAGGATCGCTGAGAACGCACCAGCCACGAAGGCGAACATGGCCACGAAGGCGCAGATGACGATGGCGGTCCTCATCTTGAAAAGTGACACTGATCTGGAGTGACACAGAGTTGAGATGGCAACGTCGGGTGGAGAACATCGACTTTGGGCGTGTTTAACAATTTATTGCGCCACTGGTAACTTGCACGGATGCTCTCGTAAGGATTCGCGCCGGCTGGATGCTTTCGGTCGGACGTTCGCGTGGGTGGCATCCTGAAGCGGCTGGATTCGAATGGTCCAATGTGACGGCCGTAAACGCGTGGGCACTTATCACATTGCATATTGTGCCGATTGTGGCACAAGATTCCCCCGGCCCACATGACAGATACATTGCTGGCCCCATCACAATGCTGGGCATCCGATGACTGTGTATTCAAGCCCCTGACTGCCTGCCAGCTTGCGCCCTGCCCAAACAGCTGCACTTGAAAGTCGCTGACCAGTTACGTTTTGGCGTATGTTGCCGGCGAGAATTGGACGGGAGTAGGTTGCCATGCCTCTATTTTCAACCACCCAGCCAGCAGCCAGGTTGCGAGGTGGAGTGTGAGGCACTCATGTTGCACAGCCACTTGAGCAGCACGCCTGCACCGAATGCGCATCGCTGCACTTAAGCCCCCACCCATCACTCCGCATCAACACGCTACAAGGTGGATTTGTGCGCAGCCACGCAGAAGATGTAGCACCATCGCCTGAGTTTGGACAAGGCTGGCTGATGCATGGCTGGCCGCCGCCAGTTTCCTGCAAGCTTTACATACATCCTGGCAGTGTGCCTGAATACGCACACATGGCAGGCAGGCATGCGCCAACATGAACGGGAGAGAACTCACATGTGAAACCCCTCTTCCGTGCTTGGTCAAGACGAGTCTGGCAGTTGCGCCTGCATCTATCTCCAGCGCACCTGCCTCCTTCAGGCACTGCAAGCTGGAGTGGCCTGGACGCGTGGTCTAATGCACAGTCCACAGCTTGAGAGCGTTTGCAAGTTGTTGTATGACCTCGGTTGTGGCGCATGCAACAAACCTCGAGTGCAACAACCTCGGGCGCATGACCACATATCAAACACGCTCACAAACAGAGGTATACGGTACGCTGCATCACTTGGCAGAGTGCAGGGACCGCAGTTCAGGTAAATCTCGCCGGCCCTCCCTGCTTTGAAACACAAAGTCATCATACATGTTGCGGTTACCATTGTTGCATAGGGCGGCCTGCACGCCTCTATCATTTCATATCAAGCTTGCAGAAAACTGGCGACAAAGCTCAAAACCTCTCAGCGCCCGTTTTTTCATGCCTTGAACGCTGCCATATTACGAGAGTGCATCCTACGAACTTAACGATCTAATTGTGCCGAGGCGTACTGTTGCGAACAGCTGGTGAAGCCATGTCCTCAGCAATCGGTACAACCAGGAACCTGACACAACAATTCATCAGATATAGAAACGATGCAAAACGCGCCAGGCTGACGGTCCTTGTGGACGACCGGTGCGCACGCTGCGGCGTCTGCTGCACCGGGCTTGTGCTGCTGGAGCAGCTGCCGCTGCCGACGCAAGGTCCCAATCCTTGGAGTCTTTCGAGGCACCCAGCGCGATGGAGCAAGCTCTCTCCTTCGGGAACCCATTGAAAGCGCACAAATTCCTCCCAACCTCCTCGCAACACCGGCTAGCCCTGGCACCGAAACGCTGGGAGACAAGGCGACGGCCAAGCTGCTTGGGGCGGCGCTGGGCGGCGACAATGGCGACATAGAGCTCGGCGGCGCGGGCATTTCCACAGGATACGCGCCGCGTTGGGTGCAGGTGCGCCAGCACAAACGTTTCCTCTGAATGGCAGCGGCTGCGGCGCACTGGCGAGGCTGGTCCCTGCCAGGGCCCTGTTTCTGAGAGGTTGTGGCTGACGGCCGGCACAGGCGACTTGAAATTGGCGTTGGCCAAGGAGCCAGACGCTGCGCTCTTGATATCGCGGCTGCGCACGGACACAGCCCTTTGCCAAGCTTTGCATCATTACCTTTCAATGGCGGAATATGGCGCTTTGCACTTTTCAGGTGTCTGAGAAGATCAAGGGGGATATGGCTGTGCTGAAGGAGCGAATTGCCAAGCTGCGGGAGTGAGCGGCGGGCCACACTTGTCTCATGATGGCGCAGACGTGTCGTCTGGATTTCATGGGCGCACACGTCTTTCGGGCGCAGATCAGGGACATTACCGTTTGCGTGCCAAGCGGCCCCGCGGGACCCCTGCCCAACACGACAGTATGCCTGACTGACGGTCAGCCCCTCTTCCCGCCCATCCCGACCTGCGACACCTCTCAGATACCATGCCAAGGCGCTCCTGGTCAGCTTTGACTCGAGCGCCAGCGGCGCCAGCGGCCACGTCGACGCGCTGACCCAGGAGGTGCAGCTGTCCTTCAAGCGGCTGGACGGGGAGATACGCGCAATGCAGCAGCAGGCGGGCGGCCGCGAGGACGACGCGGGTGTGCGGCTGCAGGTGCAGCGGCAGCTGGCGCAGGCGCTGTTCAAGCTCAGCGTGGAGTTCAGGTGGGGGCTGTTTTTTGGGGGGTTGAGGGCAGGCGGCGCAGATGTTGTGGCTGCACATGGTTGAATGCACGATTGCAAGATCACAATGAGCGGAGGGACACCAACGCGCACCGCACCATGCAAGCAGGAACGACGCGCGTGCTGCCCTGACGACACCAGAGGGGCTTCCTCTCCACTGCCCGCGCGACCGCGCCCGGCCCCCGCCCTTGCCGCGCGGCGCAGGAAGCAGGAGACGCGGTTTCTGAACAAGATTGAGGCGCAGAAGGGGTACGAGCAGGGCAGCAGCATTGGCCTCATTGTGGAGGAAGGCCCCGCCGGCGCGGCCGCGGAGGCAGACCCTGGGTTCACGCAGGCACAGCTGGTCAAGGTGTCGCAGGCGGAGGCGCTGATCGAGGAGAGGGACACGGAGATCAGAAAGGTGGGGCGGGGCGTGGTTGTTGTTGTTGTGGCGGTGGTGGCGGCGGCGGCGGGTGGGAGCTCGCCGGTCTATGTGCCTGCATGTGCGGGCATGTATGGAGGCACCACATGCGTTGCGTGCATTCAAATGGCGGCGTGGCGTCAGCGTCCAAAGCCGAGATGGCCGCCAACTCCTGACCCCGTGCCTTCCCTGCAAACGCTGCTGCCTCCCCAGGTGGTCGAAACCATCGTGGAGCTGGCGCAGATCATGCGCGATCTGAGTACGCTGGTGGTGGAGCAGGGCACCATGCTGGACCGTATAGACCACAACATTGTGGAGACAGCCATGAAGGTGGGCGCCGCCCTGCCCCAATGGGGGCTTGGGAGCGTGGGCAGCCTCACGCTGGCCGCCGGATGGGGCTGGCTCGCACCAGTGCTTGCTGATGTTGCACGTGCCGCGAAAGCACGATTTGCTGATCCGCTCAAGCGATGGCGCGGCCGCCCGTGCCCCCACCACACACGCCACCATTGTCCATGCTGGCGACGCCAACCCCCAAATAGGTGGAGGAGGGGGTCAAGGAGCTGGTCAAGGCGGAAAAGACCCAAAAGTCCGGCCGCGCCATGATGTGCATCGTCATGCTGTGCGTGCTGATCGCCATATTCCTGATCATCACCATTGTGCGGCATGCATGACGATTGCGGCGCTTTGGTGGTGTGCGTGACCGGAGTTGCTGAAAGGCTCGTTGTGTTTTGGGGGGCCTGGAGGCAGCCGCTGACTTTAATGACATCCAGCAGGATGACCTCCAGTTGTTGTTGCCCTAGCAGCTGCATCCAGTTGTGATTAGTCTGCCCCGCATGGGCAGGGGCGTTGGTCGGGCTGGTGCATCTTGCTCAGGCGCGTTTGAGCGCACGGCCGCCCCGCGTTGTAAAGATCCAAGCCTACAACCAGGGTCAGGCGAGAAAATCAAACCGTATGGACACAGGTCAGGGTGGCACTAGGCGAGGTATCATACGGTAAATGGGTTGCCAGACCGCCTGCTGCTCTGTACTTCATCCAGGGGAGTCAGTGGGCAACTGATGTGACGAAGGCTGAAAAGCGTCGGCCAATTTCGGTGGTGTCCCGGTGTTTTGCAAATCGAGCTGGCTGATTGACCCTTCACGTGCTCTATAGATCGGCACAGGCGTTCCGCAGATCGACATCTCGAGTGAGCCAAGAGTGTGCTCGCCTGTGTGCGGCAGCGGTGGTCGCTATGCTCGAGTGTTTCAAATCGGGACGTGCGCATTGCACGGTTGCCAGCTGCATGTGCGCCTTCACCCCGCTTCCCAGCGACGCACGCAGATTATGCCCGACGCTGTTGCATGTGGAACGCCTCTGCGGCACGCCCCACCTGCACTCACCGCGCAGCAGGGGCAGCCATCAGACGGCAGAGCACAGGGTCACGTGGGGTCACTGCGCGGCCATGGCCATGCCGGCGCAGCCCGCGCCCCGGATGCTAGTGCAGCGCCTGCTGCCGCCGGTGCTGCTGCTGCTGCTGCTGCTGCTGCTCTGGCCATCTCCATCGCTCGCCCTGGTCAAGGGGGGCGGTTCCTGTGTTGTGAGTGAGTAGCACGGGAACAGGGCTGCGTCCCTAACGGTTGTGTGTGATCATCAGCTATCCCGCTGTCCTGCAGTGCCGCAGATGGGTGCATGCATGGGTTCACACCTGGGTTCACACGTGCCCGCTGCGTTCCGGTCAACAGCACCTGCCTCACCACGCTTCCCTGCACTGCCACCCGAATGTGCAAGACCTCACAGTGACTACGGGCATGTTTGTGGGGCTCAGCAACACGACGTCGCTATCCCTGAGGCGGCAGTTCAATGATATCGCGGGCAAGGCCCGCGCGACCAAGATCTTCGTGCGCCCCAGGAGCCTCACCGACGCAAACAGGGGCGCGATCACCGGGCGGCTGCCGCTCATATTTCCGGCAGGTGCGCGTGAGCTTGCAGGAGCGCCCTGCGCCCGTGGCGCGGGCGGTTGGGACCGAGGCCTGGCAAGCGCATCATGCGATGGCAGTGCCGGGGCAGTGGGACGTTGCAGTGAAGGGCTGTTGCACAAGCAGCACCACGCGGTCCCCAGTGCCCGGCAGCCCATTGTAAAGTGCGCCGCAGCGGTCATCCGCAGCTCGTCAAGCCGCATGGACACCTTCCCCAGCACAACGTTGCTCACCGAGTGCGTGTGCTCGATGGGCGCGCGCGGCGCGCGCAGGGACGCGTTGCGCCTTCAGCAACAGCCAAGTGGATGAGGGCGACGCCGGCCACGCGGTGCTCGTGGCTGCGCTCAAGGGGCTGAGGGTCGGCGGCGTCGGGGCGCAGCACTCGGCCTTCTCTGGTGGGTGCGTTGGGGGCTGCTCGCGCGACCTGGCTTGCCCTCGTATGTCGAGGCAGCCCTCAGCCGTGCAATCCAGGGATAACGCCTGCACGCCCGCCACCACCAGTTCCAGCTGCGCTCGCGCGTCATCACTTGGTCTTGCGCCTCATCACTCGGTCTTGCTTCTCCTTTCCGCGCTAATGCTCGTCACCCTCAGTTTCCATTGCAAACTTCAGCGGCAGCTACAACACTACGGGGCAGTATGCCAGCAACGCGACGTTCAACATCAACAACACAACCCTGGACGTGAGTGGGTTGCCGCGGGCTGTGTGCGGGCTGCAAGCGCCCCCAAAGGGGGTGGGTGGTAGCAATGCCGGCACCACCACCCAGCCCGCGCCTGGCAAGTTTGTTTTTGGGTTGTGCAGTGGGAAGTAGCTGCCGCCTTGCGAGTAGCCATGTGTGCTCTTGCGCCCTTCTCCGCCGCTCCCTCGTCTGGCAGCAGCTGGCGGGCTCAGGCACGATATGCGTTCCATGCAAGCGTTGTGCCACATCGTCACCTCCCGTGCTTACGTGTCGAAAAACACTTAAGCCCGTCCGCTCCGCTGACCGTCACACTGTCTCCCCGCTCCACCCTCGCATCCCTATCCATGCGTCAGCTGGCTATGAGCACGGACGTCGCACCGAACAGCAAGACGCCTGTGATTGTGCAGCCCAGCGCGACCATCCTGCGGGGCACGGCGACACTCCGAGCGAGCTACTCGCAGCGCGTGCGCGGCGTCAAAGTGGAGGGTCGCTTCCCAAACATCACGGCGGCGGCCCTGCCGGCTGTCCCAGTCAACGCGTCTTCGTGTTCCCTTTCCCTCAAGCGCGTATATGGCGCCGCCACGTTCACGCTTGTTTGCCAGGGGTTCAAACTGCGCCTGGCCGACATCAACAGCGGCGGCGCCGTCGCAGCTCTGACGCTGCGGCAAGGGGGCGTCAAGAACGCGTCGGTCAAGGCCACGGGGTTGCTGACGTCGGCGTACCTCTTTTGATCGCCGCACGAGGCTCTCTATAGGTGGATGGCCGCCGAGCCGCCGTGCGGCCCCCGCCTACTCTGCTGTAGCCGATCTCTGCACCAGGATTTCCCCGATGGGGCCGCAAACCTTGCACGCTTTCAGTATGCTAGCAAGCATGCATGTGCCCAACCCTCTCGCTTTGATTTAGTGGCCACTAATCACTTGCAAATGGAACAGACAGAACTGTATTCGTGCTCATCACTCAAAACAGCAGCTCTCCCCTGCTCCTCTGATGCTCCTCTGTGATTTCCTTGCCGCGGTGTGTCTGTCGGCAATCAAGCAGGTCCCCTGGTTGCCCCAAACACCCACGGCATGTACCGTGCATTCGTTTCTGGTCTGCAAACATTTGCGCAATCCATTTGTCTGTGCACAGATCGGCATTCAACGCCGCTGTTTTGCGCATCGCTGAGCAAATTTGAGAGTTCAATGTATTGGTCAATGCGAGTGGGTGCGCTTGTGGCAAATGCAGAGCATGTGGTTCCTTCTATGCCAAATGATACAAACTTGCTTGTTGCTGCCTAGTTACGAACTGCTTGTGTTGAGTGCTTGAGTGCAGTGTATCGACGTTGTGCCTGCTGCCTTCGCAGACACCACCGCCGCTCGCCATCCTTGCTGCACAATCCGCACGCCACCCGCAACAGCTGATGCTTGGTACCCTACGCAAATGTGGCTCGCTGCCGCAACTGATTTTGTCTTCTGGGCATGCACTTTGTCCTGTTGCTTCTGCAGACAGATGCCATGAGTAAATTGTACGGGTGACTGTCAAGACACTGGCTGCTGGGGTGGTTGTGGGGCTGCTGGCCCAGCGGGGAGGCGGTTCGCTCCACGGACACATGCAAGCGCATGCCGCCGCACCCCTCCACATGTGTTCAACAGTTTTGCTCATCAAATCAAGCCGAGCCTGCCGGCACGCTATGATCAAGCTGCAAGGTCATATCCCTCGCCTTGCCAACCGACCCAGGCGATGCCGCCACACCACTTTCCATTGCTCTGTTGCCAAAAGCCCCATGTCCACAGCCTTGAATGGAGGCCGACGCCCAACCACAGCGCGAGCGGGCGCCGAAGGGGCAACATCGCTCGGGGGCCGGCGCCTTTTGAGCCCGTGCACTTATTCAGACAGGCAGATCCTTCCACGGCGGCCCTTCGTGGCCGTCTGGTTTTATGGCGTGATGAGTGGATCCACAGCCGCTTGGCTGAGGCGTGGTCGCCCCCCAACCTTGTTAAATCAGGCCACGTACACCCTCTGATCCTAAACCCAGACTCAAAAACATGCTGCTGTGCTGCCCGCAGAGCGGCTGTGGCCCTCTGCTTTTCGAGCCAGCCGCCATCTCGTCGTGGCTGAGTCGGCTGAGCAAGGGCGTACCTCGCACCCCTGCTTATTTCACTGGCCAAATACTGCTTGCATGTGTGTGTTGCGCCTGTCTTCATCACGTGTGGACAGGCTTCGCTTCAGCTCTTCGCCTTTGGCCGCCGACTTAGCTTTAGTCTGCTACCTATGCCAGGTATTGGATATGTAAGTGCGCTTGCTACAGACGCCTGCGGGACACGCTGTTGGCGCTCGTGGACGCGGCTGCTCCACTGCATTGGTGCGGCGCTCAACGCATGCTTGTTCTGTGACGGCGAACGAGGCCGCCATCTCTGCCAGGATGAACCCAGGTGGTCCTGGGCGCGGACTTCAAATCCGTGGCGGCCGAGAGGCCGAGTGGTTCAATTCCACCTTCCCGGCGTTCTGCTGCTTGCCATTGACTCACAAACTGATGCAGCTTGGTCTCTGTTGAGCTGCCAACACGCTGCGCACCCCCCTGATTACCTCTGCCACCATGATCCCAGCTGGTGCTGGGCGCGGACTTCAAATCCGTGGCGGCCGAGAGGCCGAGTGGTTCGATTCCACCTTGGAGGCGTCTGATCAACTGTCTTGCTGTCCACGTGTTGCCAGGATTTCTTTACACCCTTATATCAGCCAATCATGCATGGCACCGAGCGTGCCAGACACGCAGGCGCAATAAAGCCTCTGTTCAAGGCCGACAGGCCCAGCATCAAGGCATGGTTTAAAACAGGCCTCCCATGAACCCCAAACCAACCAATGACAGTTACTGGAAGGTCGTGAATACGCAGGCCCTTGCTTACTTCCTCTGTGCAAATCGCTTTGGAATGCGCTGCACCACCTGGCTGGCGCAGTGCACAGAGCCATACATACTGCAAAGGGGCAGGAGAGATGGCAATGAGGGTGCAGACGAGAGGACCTGTCAGCATCACATGCCAGCAAAAAAGCTGAAACACTGCAGACTGCGACACCCTCCTTGGCGAAATGCAACAGCGCCACGCACGGCTGCGCCCACAGCAACATGCACAACATGATGCCCAGCATCAGTGTGGCAGTCCTGCCCCGACTTTGACCTGCGCATGCAACAGTACCCCCCTGACCGTGCGCATCATTCGCAGCCCCCTCCCCTCAGGGCCCGCGCCCGGACCCCCCCCCTTGGCGCCCACCTGGTGATGCTGCTGAAGTCGATGACCCGCACGTCCCCCTTGAACCCCGGGTGCTTGACGATCTGCCGCGCGCTCGCCGCGTGCACGCTGATGATGCGGCTGCCGCCGAGGTTGAGCACGTTGCAGCCGTAGGCCAGCTGGTGCTCCCCAGATATCGGGATGATGGAGTAGCCCTCGCCCGCCATGAACGCCGAGAACTCAACGCCAGACCTGGGGGGCGGGCGGAGGTTGGGGTGTTGCACATTGCAACATGCGCGTAGAGTTTGCGTGTGATGACTGCGCCGATGCGGGTCCATGGCTCATGAGGCCCCTTGCGACGCTCAACTCCCTGTCTGTGCACGGTACACTTCCCCCCATGTGTGTGATGCCCCCCCTCCCTCTACTGCGAAGTGACCCGACCCAATCCCCTTGCCCCCACCCACCCCACACCACCCCACAC